GAACCGCGCTGTCGGGTCGTTCCAGAGCGGCTTTTCCGCGCATCCGCGCAGTCTCCTCGATGTTCTCGCGCTTCGATGGGTTAGTCATGCGGTAGACAGGGCCTTGGGTAAAACGATTCCGGAAGAACGCGCTAGACACGAATACAGTGTAACTTCGTTGCGCGCAGTCTCCTCGATGTCCTCGCGCTTCGATGGGTTGGTCTCACAGTAGTTGCTTTCGTGAGACCGCTTCTGCTGGAACCCGTTTTTGTGATCTCGCGACGCGATGAGATCACTTCACGTTTGTGATCCCATTACGAACGTTCTTCAATGGGCCCTTGATGTTGTCGAGGTTTGTTTGTGCTTTTTGTGATTTTTTTTTTTTTTTTTTTTCCATTCATTTCACAAAGACTAAAAAAAATACGGGGCACACCAGGCTCAACCTCTTCAGCAATCTCCGCCGCGCCCGCCGCCATATCTCCATCCCGCCGTTCCTCACTCGTCGCGCCCATGCGCCCCTTTTCCCCGTAATCCCCCTTTTCCCGTCCTCAGCGCGCGCTGGTACTAACGAAGCACACGGGAAAGGGGGAAAAGAGGGGAGGGGGGGAGAGCTCCGCCGCGGCCCCACTATCCCCTTTTTTCGCGCCCCCCCTCCGCTCCCCCCTTCCCCCCACCCCAGGCCAGCACGCTGGTGGTGGCGGAGCACACGGGGAGGGGCGCAGGGGGCTCCGCCGCCGCCCTGAAGCCGCCCACGCTCTCCCGCCCGTCACGCCTCCCCCCATTTGTCCTCTTTCCCTGTCCCCCTGTCCCGTCCCGCTTATCCCCCTGCCCCTACTCCCCACTCCGCAGGCCAGCACGCTAGTGGTGGCGGAGCACACGGGGAGGGGCGCGGGGGGCTCCGCCGCCGCCCTAAAGCCGCCCACGCTGTCCGCAGTGGCGGCTGCACGGAAGCTTGGCGGACCCGTGGCCGTGCTGGTGGCGGGGAGTGGCGACGCGGTTGCTGACGTGGCAGCTGCTGTTGCGAAGATTGAAGGGGTGGATGAGGTGGGTAATTAATTTCAAGATATTATAGAAACATCACAATAATCGTGACTTACTTGAAACCTTGGAATCGAAAAACGTTTGTGAGTACAATTATCACTCATACACTAGGCTGCCGAAGGGAAGTAATGGCATGCCCTGCCTGTCCTCAGCGCTTCCGTTCCTTATCCCCACCTCCTTCCCATGTCATATTTCTCAGGTGATTACAACAGAGATTCTTTTGAGTTGACTCAAAAGTCACCTCGCTTACGTTCCTTATCCCCACCTCCCTCCCATGTCATATTTCTCAGGTGATTACAACAGAGAGCCCCGCCCTGGACCACGCCCTGCCCGAGCCCCTGGCGGCGCTACTGACAAACCTCGCCACTCAGCGGTCTTTCTCGCACGTGCTCGCCGCCTCGTCCACCTTCTCCCGGAACGTGCTGCCACGTGTCGCCGCGCTATTGGACACTGCGATGGTGTCTGATGTGGTTGAAATCGTGGATGAGAAGACTTTTGTGCGGTAATTGGGAGGGGAAGGGAGGGGTGCGGTAAGGGGAGGGTGAGGGTGGTGGTATATTTTTTAGGATCAGGGAAATGGGGGACGGGGGAGGGGGAAGAGGGGGGGAGAGGAGGGGAGAGGGCGAACGGTTTGTGCAATAGGAATTTTGACGGCGAGAGTTGGCCTTCTTCGAGGCGCCTCAAAAATTGCAATAGGAAGTTTGAGGGCGAGAGTTGGCCTTCCCTTTCGAATCCAAAGGGTGAGACGACCTTCACTCGGTGAGAGGAGAGAGGGCAGAGGGAGGTCGGGGGGTGCGGTGACGGGAGGGGAGGAAAGGGGAAATGGAGGGAGGGGTGCAGTGAGGGGAGGTGAAGGGCGATGATGTATTTTTCAGGCCTCCTGCCCCACTCCCCCTTCTCCTTTGTTCCTCCTTACACCCTTTCCCCCCCTCCGCCACACCCCAGCCCAATTTCTGCAAGGAACGCTCTTGCCACGGTTTGCTGCTCCACGCTCACCCTTTATTCCCCATTGTCCTCTCTGCTTCTTCTTTTCTTCCCCCCTTTCCCCCCTCCACAGTCCAATCTATGCAGGGAACGCACTTGCTACAGTACAATGCTCCACCCCCTCCTCTGCCGTCCCAAGTCTCCTCACAATCCGCGCCACCTCCTTCCCTGCCTCCTCCTCCTCTGAACCCACCACCGCCCCCAAGACCACGCCTTTCGACTTCCAAGGTACGCTCTAGACTGACACAGTGCGCTGCTCCATTCCTTCCCCCGCCACCCCAACGCTGCTCACAGTCCGAGCCACCTCCTTCCCTGCTGCCTCCTTCTCCTTATGCTCCATGTAGACACGTTAGGCATGCTTCATGTAGACACGTTAGGCATGCTTCATGTAGACACGTTAGGCATGCTTCATGTAGACACGTTAGGCATGCTTCATGTAGAAACGTTAGGCATGCTTCATGTAGACACGTTAGGCATGCTTCATGTAGACACGTTAGGCATGCTTCATGTAGACACGTTAGGCATGCTCCATTTAGACACGTTAGGCATGCTCCATGTAGACACGTTAGGCATGCTCCATGTAGACACGTTAGGCATGCTCCATGTAGACACGTTAGGCATTCTCCATGTAGACTCGTTAGGCATGCTCCATGTAGACACGTTAGGCATGCTCCATGTAGACACGTTAGGCATGCTCCATGTAGACACGTTAGGCATGCTCCATGTAGACACGTTAGGCATGCTCCATGTAGACACGTTAGGCATGCTCCATGTAGACACGTTAGGCATGCTCCATGTAGACACGTTAGGCATGCTCCATGTAGACACGTTAGGCATGCTCCATGTAGACACGTTAGGCATGTTCCATTCCAGCATGCTTACTTTCCTCCCAACTCAGCTCAATGTGCGTCTCCCTCCTAACCCAAAATCTACATGTAGAGATGGTGTTTTTGAGACGTCTCAGAAATGCCCTTTCCTCCCAACTCAGCTCAAGGTGCTTCTCCCTCCTTGCCCAAAATCTGCCCGTCACAGTTAGACACGTCTCAAGATTTTTGAGACGTCTCAAAATACCCCTCCTCTGCTCATTTTCAGCGCGCTCCCCTCCCGACTTACCCAGAGGTCCGTCTCCTTCCTTGGCCAGAAGTGCTTTGAGACGTCTCAAACCACTTCTTCATACATGTCTCCTTCCTTGGCCAGAAACCTGCCAGTCACGTTTGCGTATCCTTCCACCCCTTCCTTCCTTTCTCCCCCCCCACTCCCCTGTTCTCCCACCCCTTCTTCCCCCCATGATCCCCAGGCCCCCCAGCTGAAAAGTCTTCCTGGGTCGGGCAGGAGTTGCGGGCAGCTGACCGACCGGACTTGGGCAGTGCAAAAGTTGTGATTGCCGGCGGGCGGGGGCTGAAGAGTGAAGAGAATTTCAAGCTGCTGGAACAACTAGCAGACAAACTGGGAGGGGCAGGTAAGAAAGATTGACAGTGAATGAAACACCAAAAGCGCGGAATCAACTAAGCGAATCAATAAACTCCTGCCCTAGCTGGAAGAAGATCTTGCCCTTGCTGCCTGGACGTATGCTCAACCACAACTACACTCTCCCTTTTCCATTGCTGTAATCCTCTCCTGCCCTTTTTGCCCTTCTTGCCAGTGGGAGCCTCTCGGGCAGCTGTGGACGCAGGTTACGTAGCCAACGACCTGCAAGTCGGGCAGACCGGAAAAATCGTCGCGCCAGACCTGTACATGGCGTTTGGAATTTCGGGCGCGATTCAGCATCTGGCAGGCATGAAAGATTCCAAGGCGATCGTGGCCGTTAACAAGGATCCAGATGCTCCGATCTTCCAGGTAACAACTCAAAGCACTCTGCTTTTTCTCTCCCCCATTTGAATCCGAAGCACATGCTACAGTCCGTTTTTTGTTGATTCCAAAATGATCGTGGCCGTTAACAAGGATCCAGATGCTCCGATTTTCCAGGTCGCGGATTACGGGCTGGTGGGCGATTTGTTTCAAGTGCTGCCCGAGCTCCTAGAGAAAGTTCCTGCCAAGGCCTAAAACGCAGAGCACCCACTCAGTAAGGCACAACAGAAGCATATTTAGTACATTATCCTTCTTGGAATCTGGACTTTTTTTTGGAGGGACTTTTATTCCTGTTTTGTTGGCTGGAACATCACATTTCCGTTACTAAGGAAGGATGGCATCTTTGTCCTGAATTATTACTAGTTGTCCTACCCTTCGAACAACACTGCTAGACATGATATGATATGACCCCCTACCAGCAGAATGAATGAGGAAGGGATGAAAGACTGCAACACAACTGCTGCAGAAGCTGAGCTGTCAAGCCACTCACATGTGAAACCCCTGCAGCACTATCCTTGGAACAACACTGCTGGATATGAAAGCCCTCCAGGACCACCATGAGAGAGGAGGCAATCAAACACTGCAGAAGCCGAGCTGTCAAGCCATTCACATGTGAAACCCCTGCAGCACTATCCTTGGAACAACACTGCTGGATATGAAAGCCCTCCAGGACCACCATGAGAGAGGAGGCAATCAAACACTGCAGAAGCCGAGCTGTCAAGCCCTTTGCATGTGACCGGTGCAGCGCGGTGCTACCCGGTACCTCCAGGCGAGATGTTGAAACGGCTGGAAAAAATAAAATAATGACAGAGCACAAAAACCAAAGGGCCCAAGAGACTGGAAACACTTGCTGCTGCTGCTGCTGCTGCTGCTGCTATTGAGACGGCACAAAGGGTTCGAGAGACTGGAAACAATTGCTGCTGCTGCTGCTGCTGATTTCCTCACCCTGTGTGCTGCTTCAGACATCCCTATCACCTGGTCCTGCTCCTGCCCTGCTGCCCTGCTGCTATGCTACCCTGCTGCTATGCTACCCTGCTGATCCTGCTGCTGCTGCTACTCCTCTGCTGTCCTGCTGGCTATTCTATGTTAGCCTGCTGCTCTAGTGCTCTGGTATTTTTTGCTGCTCCGCTGCCCTGCCGTACTAGCTCTCATTTCCTCCCATCTCCTCCCCCGGGGGTCCAAGCAGAGGCACCCAGAATCGACTGACCATTCCACAGCAGGCGCACGCCCCCCTGCGGATGCCTCTCAACCGCAAACCCTTTAGGATACGGCGCGATCAGCTCTCTCAACCCCCACATGCTCCTCTTGCTGTACGGCCGTGCCGCCACCCCCAACCTCCCCATCCGCGTGTGCATCTGATCCAACCTCTCTGCTCGCACCAGCCTCTGCATGCCTTCGCACGCCACCAGGTTCACCATTTCCCGTGCGAGAACGAACTCCTCGAAGCCGCGGCGGCCAAAGGAGAAGCGCGAGGCGAGTGCGTCGTGGGAGGCGAAGATGTTGTGGAAGAAGAGGAGAGCGTCTTTGAAACGGTGGAGAAAGAAGGGTTGTTGTTGGTTGGAGTCCCACTCGACTAACGACACCACCTTGGGGTCTAGCTGCATGATTGCCTGAAGGGAGGAAGGGAGGGGATGGGGGGAGGGAGTTGTAAGAATGTGTTCGATCAAAGAGGAGGTTCACCATTGCCCTCGCACGCCACCAGGTTCACCATTGCCCTCGCCAGCATCAACTCTTCAAAGCCGCGGCGGCCGAAGGAGAAGCGCGAGGCGAGTGCGTCGTGGGAAGCGAAGATGTTGTGGAAGAAGAGGAGAGCGTCTCGGAAGCGAGAAAGGAAGAAGGGCTGCTAGAGCGACTCTAGCAGGCTGCTAGAAGGGCTGCTGGTTGGAGTCCCACTCTACTAGAGCGACCACTTTGGGTCTAGCTGCATGATCGCCTGGAGGAGCAAGGGGGGAGGAATAGCAGTGTGCGCGGAGGGAAAGCTCACCAACTGAGGCATCAACTGCATGATCATCTTAAGGCAGGGGTAAAAGAGGTGGGTGGTTGACAAAGCCATATTAACACCGCTCCCCCTTTACCTCACCACTCTCTCTTACCTTTATTGCTGTATCCTTTGGGCTGTGCCTGAGAACTGTAGAATCTGCAACACACGCCAGCCGCCCAGCCACGTTCACCAGCACACACTCGCCCCGCTCCACTCCAATCGCCGCCGCCCGCAGCGTCTCCGGCGCCGCCTCGACCCGGGAAAAGGACAAGCTCACGCCGCACTCCTGCGCCGCCCGCGCCAGCTCAGCCTGCAGGAAGGCCGCAGGAAGCTTCGGGCCAGTCCCATAGGGATGACCGAAAGGAGGGTCTACAGCTGTGAATCGGATCCGGAGAAAGCAGGGAGGGATGGGAGAAGGCGCAGAGGTACAAGGACCTTGCAGGGGTGTGGGAGAAGGGGATGACGAGGGTGAGGGGGAGTGGTGGGCGGAGGTTGGCTGGGACGGAGAAGGGTGGGAGGCGGATGGTGATTTGGAAGCATGGCTGGTGGTAGCAGCAGTACTGTCACAGATACCAACGCTGCTGCTGCTGCTGCCGCTGCTGCTGCTGCTGTTATGGCTGTTGATGGTAACAGCTGCTGCGGCCATTCTTTTCCGGGCAGCTGCCGCCAGCTGGCGGATGACGATTGGCCACTGGCCTGCCCACATGGCAAAGTCAACGATGTGGATGTTGGACTCATCCTCTGCCGCGTCCTGTGGAGGGAGAAAGGGAGAGGGTAGGTGGAGAGGGAGTGAGTAGGGAGAGTGTCGAGTGGGTTGCACGAATGGCAAAGCCGACGATGTGGGTGTTTGGTTCATTCATCCTCTGCCGCGTCCTGTGGAGGGAGAAAGGGAGAGGGTAGGTGGAGAGGGAGTGAGTAGGGAGAGTGTCGAGTGGGTTGCACGAATGGCAAAGCCGACGATGTGGGTGTTTGGTTCATTCATCCTCTGCCGCGTCCTGTGGAGGGAGAAAGGGAGAGGGTAGGTGGAGAGGGAGTGAGTAGGGAGAGTGTCGAGTGGGTTGCACGAATGGCAAAGCCGACGATGTGGGTGTTTGGTTCATTCATCCTCTGCCGCGTCCTGTGGAGGGAGAAAGGGAGAGGGTAGGTGGAGAGGGAGTGAGTAGGGAGAGTGTCGAGTGGGTTGCATGAATGGCAAAGCCGACGATGTGGGTGTTTGGTTCATTCATCCTCTGCCGCGTCCTGTGGAGGGAGAAAGGGAGAGGGTAGGTGGAGAGGGAGTGAGTAGGGAGAGTGTCGAGTGGGTTGCACGAATGGCAAAGCCGACGATGTGGGTGTTTGGTTCATTCATCCTCTGCCGCGTCCTGTGGAGGGAGAAAGGGAGAGGGTAGGTGGAGAGGGAGTGAGTAGGGAGAGTGTCGAGTGGGTTGCACGAATGGCAAAGCCGACGATGTGGGTGTTTGGTTCATTCATCCTCTGCCGCGTCCTGTAGAAATAGAGGGGGCTGATGGTGGGGAGACGGAGAGGACAAGGTAAGGCTGAAGAACGGGGGGTGGGGGGGTTGGGGGGTGGGGGGGGTTTGGTGCACTAACGGCGTGTGAAGTCGACGATGTGGGTGTTTGGACTCATCCTCTGCCGTGTTCTGTAGAGGGAAAGGGGTGAGGGGAAGGGGGGCAGGGAGGGAGGGATGAGGGGGACAAGGAGGGGTGAGGCGGGGGAGAGGGGAGTTGCACGATGCCCACACGGCAAAGTCGACGATGACGGCCAGTGAAGTCAACGAAGCCAACGATGTGGGTGTTTGGCTTATCCTCTGCCGCGTCCTGCAGCAAGGGAGGAAGAGGGGTTTGTGGAAGGGAGGGGAGCCGGGGAGAGTGTGGGAGGGGGTTTGCATTGCACCAATGGCAAAGTCGACAATGTGGGTGATGTTGGTCTCGTCTTCTGCCGCGTCCCTGCAGAAACAGGAGGAGAATGAGGGGAGACGAAGGTGGGGAATGAGAGTGGTTGAGGGGGGTTCATCAGTAACAAAGTCAAAACAAGTTCAACTTTGTGAATGTTGGCGTGGAGCTCTGCTTTGTCCTGCAGTGAGAGGGAGAAAGAGGGGAGGAGGTGGTAGGGGAGGGGTGGGTGGAGGAAGAGTGAGTGGAGGATTAGAACGAAAGGAAAATCAGCAGTATCACACATTCCTGACCATCACTGGACACTCCCTACCACCACTCTGCACGACTTGCCAGCACTCTGCAGCACCTACCGGCCATCTTCACTCCCCACCACCACTCTGCACGCCTTACCACCGCCCACCGCTCAGCACACCTCACCACCGCTCTGTACGCCTCACCAGCATGGCACAGGCCAGGGCGGAGTAGCAGAACTGCAGCGTGGGGCAGTGCGCTGCAAACGCCAGAATCAACGCTTCCTCCTGTGGTGGAGAGGGGTGGAAAGGGATGGAGAGGGACGGAGAGGGATGGAGAGGGACGGAGAGGGATGGAGAGGGACGGAGAGGGATGGAGAGGGATGGAGAGGGATGGAGAGGGATGGAGAGAATTGGAGAGGGAGCAGGTGGTGGGCGACAGCAGGTGCAGCACCATCAACTGTGCCCATCAACACCAACATCTCACTGTCCTCGCACTGTCCTCGCACTGTCCTCGCACTGTCCTCTCACTGTCCTCTCACTGTCCTCTCACTGTCCTCTCCCTGTCCTCTCACCTCAGGTGCGCGGTGACTTTTGAGTCGACTCAAAAGACAGCAGGTGCAGCACAATCAACTGTGCCCATCAACACCAACATCTCACACATCTCACTGTCCTCTCACCTCAGGTGTGCGGCTCAAATATGCGATCTAGTCTAGTCCATCCCCAGGGACGACTATTGAGGCGCCTCAAAAGTCGGCTCAAATATGCAATATAGTCTGGTCCATCCGCAGGGCGCCTTTTGAGGCGCCTCAAAACTCAAATATGCGATCTAGTCTAGTCCATCCTCAGGGACGACTATTGAGGCGCCTCAAAAGTCGGCTCAAATATGCAATATAGTCTGGTCCATCCGCAGGGCGCCTTTTGAGGTGCCTCAAAACTCAAACATGTGATCTAGTCTGTCCCCACGGCGCCTACAGCCCTCTTGGCGAGGGCAGTGAGGAGGTAGTGTGAGACAGAGGCGAGGCAGTAGCAACATCAACATCTCACCACCACCTCACCTCAGGTGCGCGGCTCAAATATGCTATATATTTCATCCCAAGGGCGCCTGCAGCCCTCTTGGCGAGGGCAGGGAGGAGGTAGTGTGAGGCAGCAGCAGCATCAAGTGTCCCCTTCAACACCAACACATCTCCAACACCTCAGTACCATCTCTTACCTCAGGCGCGCGGCTCAAATATGCGTCTGCTTTTGAGTCTACTCAAAAGCCGCGTGTAATGAGTCTGCTTTTGAGTCGACTCAAAAGCAACACCTCAGTACCTTCTCTTACCTCAGGCGCGCGGCTCAAATATGCGATCTAATCTGTCCCCAGGGCGCCTACAGCCCTCTTGGCGAGGGCAGGGAGGAGATAGACAGCAGCAGCATCACCATCAGCTCTTGAGGCATCACCATCAGCTCTTGAGGCATCACCATCAGCTCTTGAGGCATCACCATCAGCTCTTGAGGCATCACCATCAGCTCTTGAGGCATCACCATCAGCTCTTGAGGCATCACCATCAGCTCTTGAGGCATCACCATCAGCTCTTGAGGCATCACCATCAGCTCTTGAGGCATCACCATCAGCTCTTGAGGCATCACCATCAGCTCTTGAGGCATCACCATCAGCTCTTGAGGCATCACCATCAGCTCTTGAGGCCTCACCATCAGCTCTTGAGGCATCACCATCAGCTCTTGAGGCATCACCATCAGCTCTTGAGGCATCATGCATAAAACCATCTCACCTCGGGAGCGCGGCTGAGATAGGCAATGTAGTCAGTTCCTAAGGCGCCTGCAGCCCTCTTTGCGAGGGCAGTGAGCAGGTAGTGTGAGACAGCAGCAGCAGCATCAACCTTTCCCCCTCAAACACCAACATCTCACCGCCCTCTCACCTCGGGAGCGCGGCTGAGATAAGCAATGTAGTCGGTACCCAGAGCGCCTGCAGCCCTCTTGGCGAGGGCAGTGAGCAGGTAGTGTGAGACGCGCTGCATGGGCGTGCCGTAGGGGGAGGAGAGCGGACGCAGGCGACGAGTCAAAGACACCATTCGCGGCTGTCGCGGGGAGGCACATGGGGAGAGGGGGATGGGCAGAGCGAGAGGCAGAGGCATGTAGTGAGGAGGTAGTGTGAGACGCGCTGCATGAGCGTGCCGTAGAGGGAGGAGAGCGGACGCAGGCGCCTGGTGAGCCTGACCATACGCGGCTGTAGGGGGTTGAGTGGAGCAGGGGGACACAGGGGGGAGGCAGGCAGTGAGCAGGTAGTGTGAGACGCGCTGCATGGGAGTGCCATAGGGGGAGGAGAGCGTACGCAGACGGCGAGTCAAAGACACCATTCCCGGCTGCGTGAGGGAAGCACAGGGGCTACAGGGGGCACAGGGAGAGGAAAGGGGGGGGGAGAGGCAGGCTGTGAGGAGGTAGTGTGAGACGCGCTGCATGGGCGTGCCGTAGGGGGAGGAGAGCGGGCGCAGGCGCCGAGGCAAAGGCACCATTCGCGGCTGTGGGAGGGAGGCACAGGGGCCACAGGGAGAGGGAGAGGGAGAGGGAGAGGCGGGCAGTGAGGAGGTAGTGTGAGACGCATTGCATGGGCGTGCCATAGGGGCAAGGGAGCGGGCGCAGACGCCTGGTGAGACTGACCATACGCGGCTGTAGGGGGTTGAGTGGAGCAGGGAGACACAGGGGGGAGGCAGGTGGTGAGAAGGTAGTGAGAGACTCGCTGCAGGGGCGTGCACACTCTCCGAGTCACCAAACTCACTCACGGCCCACGGCACCGCCTCCACCCTCTGCTGCTCTACCACTCACCCACCCTCACCTGGTCCCCAGTGGCCACGGCTTCAGCCAGTTGAAGCAGGTCCTGTGGCAGCATCTCACCAGAAACCTGCCCACTTTTACCCACCTGCCTAACCCACACTACGGATGCACCCACCTGCTCGCAACTCCCCTCACCTCACCTGGTCACCTGTGGCCACGGCTTCAGCCAGCTGCAGCAGGCCTTGTTGCAACCCCTCATCCGACACCCGCCCACTCGCCATGTCGCGCACACTCTCCGTGTCACCAAACTCACTCACTGCCCTCGGCACCGCCTCCACTCTCTGCTGCTGCTGCTGCTCCATCACTCTCGGTTGAATCACTCTTGGTTGAATCACTCTTGGTTGATGGTTCTGCTTCGGCTGAATTGCCCTCAGGTGAGGTACTCCTGGCTGATTCACATTCAAATTCACACTTGGATTTACACTCGGCTGATTGGATCTTAGTTGGTTGGTTTGTTGCTGCTGCAGCTGAGGTCCTGCTCTTAGGGCCCCTCTCAGCCGCTGCTCCAATGCCGACGCGCCACCTGGCGCGCCTCCCACTGCCCTGACTGCCAACGCATCTGTCAGCGTGTGCTGCTGCTGACGTGTGCTTGTATTGAAGGGGCTTATACTGAACGGGTCCCCTGCTGCCCCGTCTGCTGCTCTGCCTGCTGCTGCTGGGACTACCCCAAATCGAGTACCTACTCCTAAACCTGCTCCTGCTCCTACCCCTACTCCTGCTCCTACTCCTACTCCTGCCCCTGCTCCCGCTGCTCCTGCTGCTGCTGCCTGGGTTGCGGAATCAAGTACTCGCATCACTGAATGGTCAACGGAGTATTTCCTGGTATCTGCAAAAGAACCTGGAGGGAACAGCACGAGATCTGTCCCTGCTGCTGACCCTGCTGCTGCTTTATCAGAGCTAGATCTCGCCACAAGAGATGCTAGTTCAGACGCCAAGTCCCTTCCTCTTGGGGGAGGGTTTTCAAGCGCCACTTTACCATCAACTTGCATGGGCCTACCTCTTTCATCATAACTGGTTCTCGCCACAAACGATGCTAGTTCAGACGCCAAGTCCCTCCCTCCTCCTGCTGCCCTATTCTGAAGCGTTTCGTTGATATCAACTTGCATGAACCTACTGCTCTCACCACTCGCAGCTGCAGCGGCGGCGGCAGCACCAGCAGCAGCCGCAGCAGCAGTGCTATCCCCACTACCACCACCACCACGAATACCACTCAAACCACCACCACCACCACTACCAGCATCAACACAAGCAGCAGTACTAACATCACCCCTACCACCACCGCTCCAGCCCTGGCCCGTCATACCCACTACACCGAACCTGCTCCTCTCTCCCGAACCTACTGCCGAACCACCAGACCCTACAGCAACCCTATCCTCGTTAGAAGCACCCCGTGAGAACCCTGTAATAGCCTTTTCCAGAGCCTCCATCTCTGCTGCGCGCATAGAGTCAATGCTAGCAAAGGGGAACTCTAAATCGAACTGGGACGCCTGTAGCGGCCGCTTGGACGGCTGTAGCGGCCGTTGCGCCGGCTGTAGCGGCTGGTTTGCCTGCTGCTGCTGACTCTGGTGCCGATTCTGCTGCTGGTATACATGCTGCTGCTGCTGCTGCTCCTGCTCCTGCTGCGGTTGCTGCTGTTGCTGATTCTGCGGCTCAATCTGTTGGTCCTGACCTTGCTGCACTAGCTCTGTATCCTGTCCCGACAGCTGCCGTCGCACCAGCGCAAGCAAAAGCGAATCCGTCATCCTACCTCCTCCTTCCTGCTGCACTTGCTGCTGCGCCTGCTGCTGCTGCTCCTGCCGCTGCATCTGCTGCTGTTGCACTTGCTCCTTTCGCTGCATCTGCTGTTGCACTTGCTCCTTTCGCTGCATCTGCTGTTGCACTTGCTGCTCCTGCACCTGCTCACGCCGCTGCATCTGATGATGCTGTGATTGCGGCCGCCCTTGCAGCGCCTCCCATAGCTGATCGTGCTGCTGCTGCTGCTGCAGTTGCTGCTGCGCCTGCTGCTGCTGCTGCTCCTGCCGCTGCATCTGATGTTGCTGTTGCGGCCGCCCTTGCAGCGCCTCCCATAGCTGATCGTGCTGCTGCTGTTGTTGCTGCTGCAGTTGCTGTTGCGGCTGCTGCTGCAGCAGCAGCTGCTCTAACTGCTGCTGCTCTACCTGCTGTCTCTCGTCTGTTTGCTTCTTCTGCAGGGGCTGCGGCTGCGGTTGCTGCTGCTGCTGCTGCTGCTGCGGATTTGACTGCGCTCTAGACACCTGCTGCTTCTGAAATCTAACCGCACTGGCCAGACGCTTAGCTAAGTCCACTGGTTTCCTGCGAGGCCCAAGCTCTAATCCCCCCGAACCACTAAGTACTCCTCCCTCCTTGACGCCACTACTACTGCTACTGCCACCAACAGCAGCAGCAGCAGCAGCAGCAGCAACAGTAGGGCCGGTGCTGTCCGCGTAAGTGGTGAGGGCGGGTGTAGCGATTAAGGGAGATGCAATGGCGTGAGACTCGATGAAGGTTGGAGCGGCAACGGTGGGAAACGCAATGGAGGGAGGGGTTGCGGCGACAGGGGACTCGATGAAGGGGGGAGAAGCAACAGCAGGAGACGCAAGAGCGGGAGAAGCAGCAGCAGCAGCAGCAGCAGCAGCACCGTCGCCAGCACCCCCAGCAGCAGTAGCACCTGTTACCGACACTTGCGGCGACCCGGACGACGCTCGAATCGACGGTGACGATCGCTGCTGCTTGCCGCGCTGCTGCAGGCTCGAGCTCAGCGGCGCGCTCAGCAAGTACATGTTCCACTCCGCCGTAGCCGCTACAGCAGCCACAGGCGCTACAGCCGCCACAGGAGCTACAGCCGCTACAGCCGGCAGAGTCGCTACAGTGGGCATAGCCGCTACAGCCGGCATAACCGCTGTAGCCGTTACATCCTCAGCCACGCGGTTACTACTGCTTCCTCCCTCTCTTCCACCCTCTTCTCCTGCTCCTGCGCCGCCTCCCCACATGTTTCCAAAAACCCCTTTGCTCCGCTTACCGACTCGACCTCTGCCGTCGCCGCCGCCCAATTCGCCTGATCCGCCGCCCAGCCCTCCCCCTTCAGGATCTGCGGAGGGGAACACCGGCGGAGCAACGAATTCCTGCCAGCCGAGATCATGTGGTAACGCCGCCAGAGGCTGCTCCAGACTCGGATCCCCCCCTAGCCCTTGCCCTTGCGCTTGCCCTTGCCCTTGCGCTTGCCCTTGCGCTTGCACCCGTGCTTGTGCTTGCCCTTGAGCTTGCGCTTGCCTTGCCCTCATCATATCCACCCCGAAAACTGAACCCCCCTGTTGCGGATCAATACTATGCTCTGTATCATGATCACCATGAACATAGTGCGAATCGACCAAATTAATAGGAGTGGTTGTAGTGCCACTATCACGGGTGATGTTGTAATTTCTAAATCCTTCGGCAAAGCGCGATTCATCGCCGGCTGCATGATCGTGAGATTCTGGCGGACGATCCACTAGAGGGTGATCCGTTAAACTGCCGTCGTGGTCATGGTGGTGTCCCATTTCGTGCTGACCGTCCAAGAAATCTCGCAGCGCGAATGGATCGATCGGGGTTGGGATTGGATCCAGGGCGGCATGATGATGTAAATCTGCTGCTACTAGTGGTAATGAATCGGGCAATTGCCACGTGGACTCTTCGAAATGCCATGGTTGCGTCGCGTCCCTGCGCACCGTGATTATAGAACGCAAGGTCCGCGCAGTCAAAACGTGCGTAAGAAGACACGGAAGTACAAAAATAAAACGAAAAAGGAAAGAAGAGAGAAAGAAAGAAAAAAACCACACACACACACACACACACACACACACACACACACACACACACACACACACACACACACACACACACACACACGCACGCACGCACGCACGCACACACTCACTCTCTCTCTCTCTCTCTCAGACACACTCACACACCCAAACAAAACACAAAACAAACACAGAACTATAACGGGAAGAAGAAGAAACAACAAAGCTTCAGGAATTTCAGACCGACTATGAGACCCACCACAAAGAATTATGTTCGTCCATCAAGCTCCTGCTAAAATCAATCACAGCGGTATGAGCTCCAAGGATCATCTCAGTTAGACACTCAAAGCACTCTTCTCTTTTTCCTACAGCAATCTCATGCAACAACTCGAAGTGGGAGGTGATGAAGGAGAGATCGCATGTAGTCTCGCCTTCCCTGTGCCACTGGGGAGGTGAAATCATACTCCTCCAGTTGTCGGCGTAACTGAGGTTCACTTGACATCACAACAGACAGCGTGGCCGCAATCAGGGCATAGAGTGGTGGAATGGAGAGAGCATAGGCGGTCGAAGATGCAATGTACTATCCTCGCTTGGACCGAACAAACAATTGGGTCGTGTCGTCGTATCCTCCTGCTGGGATCAGTCGTCTGCACAGAGATTTAGCGGGCTAGTTACTTCGCTACCCATCCTCACCACACTTTACAACCCGCGTCCTAAATTGCGGGCCCCGAGGGTCAAGTTTTTATAACTTGACGAAGTTGAGTGTCCAAGCTTTAGAAAGTCACGCACTTGCAATTTGGGACTTGCGAAGACAGATACACTCACCAGGGGGAAAACCGAGGGTTGGCTGGGTCTCGCGAAAAAAACGAACCTAGACGAAATCGGAAACTCTCGCCAAAGCCCACACCAGAAAAACTCCCTCTGGTCAACTTTTAAAAGCATGAACAATTTGGGCCGCCGGCTTTAACGTGTGAGAGGACACTGACCAATCCACGCAACTCTACACAGATTTTCGTTGATTTGTGCAATGTGCAAGCCAAAGCAGGTCAGGTCCAAGATGTGATGCGATGTGCTAGTTATGCGTGGAGAATAACGGATTCAACAAACCCGTTTCTTACCGTTACTGTACAGTTCTGCCCTGGGGTTGCTCTGCTTGCAAAATTTGCTGCTAAAAAAAAACAGTTTTCTTTGTTTATGCTGCGTTGATTGGTGGTGTATGTTATCCACGGACGGTCCACAGATAAAAGACGCAAATCATCTGGGACCCCGCAAATCATATGGCAAGACTTCGCTGAAATGACTGTACGGGCTGAATAGTGTACACCCTCATTCTCGTTAGACTGGCATATGTTATACTGACGGGGACGCTTAGTGTAGCCGCAGCGGACCAAAGAAGGTCCTATCACATGCGTTATACTGACAGTTTGACCCAGGGCATTTAGTCAAGGTTCTATACGTTCTAGAATGGTATTGCTGTTTTCTAAGCGGTTAGGACAGTTATTCAGCGTTAACGGATTTTTACGGCCCCAAGTCTGGTTTCGTCGCCTCGTGCGACTTGGCCCGCAACCGAGTTATCTAACCAGCCCACTACGTCCAAACTTTGTAGCCACTGCGTCCGTCGGTGAGAAGACTGAGAACAAAGGTGTACATTAATGTACACTTCTTTGATCAACCTAGCAGCTCAACACCAAAAACCGACTCGCAAGCTGACAAAACGCCAGATCACACGACATAAAGAGCAGGTTGCATACGAAACACGTTTCCCAGAGAAGTCCGCACATCTCAGCCATTAAAATCCGCCATCTCCTTCAGATCTTATCCTTCCATACCGTTCTTCCCCTCCCCACATGGGCTTATGTCATCAGAGCAATAACCCTGTTTTGACTGAAATTACAAGGTTTTTCTTAAGGAGCCCTGATTTTCACAATGCAATTTTTGGACCAGCCCGTAAAACTGAAGGGAAATTATCAAGGACACTCCATCGCTCCGGGAGATTTTCGAGGGGACCCGGATGTTTTAGCAACACTTGTTCTCCCCGAGCTGCTTTGCACACCCTCCTCCCTCTGCTCGTGAACTACGAGCGGGCCACTTTTAGTGGACTTCCCTTACCATTCGTTCTTCGTTTGGTCTCCAAGTGGTTAAAACCCCGTTTTACGTCAGCATACCCCGTTCTCCGTACACTGACAATTTCCAAGTCCTACAAAAAGTCTCTCTCCCACACCTCTAGAGTCGCTCCTTCATCTCCAACCTCCCTAGCACTCATCTATAACCCAGTGTGAGTTTCTCGATCATCCCACCAGAGTCTGGTATGCAGGTTTCCAAACTTTTTCTGGCTCGAACCCGGATTTGACGAGGCTTTTTTTTCGCTGGCTCGGATTTTAAAGGGTCTTTTACATAGGGGCCCGGATCGTCCGAGCTAGCACAAATCCTAGCAATAGCCCTACACCCCACCCCAGCCTCAACTTTGGCTCCCCTCACCAGCACCACCCTGACTCTGCGACTCCACAAAAAAACAATACAGCCAGCTTATTGCCAGCTACTTCTCAAATAATCATTGGAGCTGTGCCGTGTTTGATGGCCAATGACAACATCCAGTCTGGCACCGTGTCAATGGCACAGTGAGTCCTCACGAAGGAGTTGCTGGATGCAGTCGGGGAATCTGGATTCTGGAGCACCCAACCCTGCCACTCCAGGGTGAAGGAGGAATTTTTCCCGTTCAAGAGATTGCGAATGTGGCAATACAGAACCGAACTGTGCTTTGCAAGTTCGCGAAATAGGCGTTGAAACGCACCCCACCTAGGCGCTGTTCTGCAGCCCACTTCCCATCACGGAACGGAAAGTAGGAAATTGCCTAGTGTAAGGAATTTTCTCGGCATTCTTTACAGAGCCCGACTACATCGCGTACAGCAACAGCCGTTGTTCGCCCGTTACTACTAACGGGGGTTCGCCAACTTCGCGCACACTGTTTTGCCAAACCTCGCATTGCTGGCCTGGCCGTGTCGGCCTACGCTTCGGGACTAGTTCGAGCCTCGCTGCCAGCATAGCACTAGCTAGCTCACACGCACCGCGTTACCGTTTGCAAATTTCGCGTATAAATGTTCGCTCATGCCTTTGCTCACATGTTGTACTCGTTTGACACCTTAGTGCAATTCTCGCTACCTCGATCCATTGCACCCGTAACTCTCGGTATTCAGAGCCTCTTTCCTTTTCGGACCGCGCATCCCCGCACCCCAAGAACTCAGCTTTTGATTTTTCCTCGAAAGGACTCACGCACCTTAGGGCGTATTCCTTTCCTCCTATCAATCTGACCTCCTATCAAGCTCACACTGAAAAATCCCCTAAACCCTAAACCTCTCGCTACTTTTCCCAGGCAAAAGTACAGCCTTGATAGGAGGTGGCCTTGATAGGAGGCTGTAGGAATACGCCCTTAGCACCTAGGAGCCGCTGTCCTCGCGTTCTCTTGTAAACGCGTGAAGCCAAGACTGCGCCTAGACTAAGACGAGCCGACGCCCTTCGAAATGGCTGAGCATATCGACGTCACGACTCTCACGCAGGAGCACTTGAACGATCTGTTGCGACAAATCCGCGAGAGCGCCGAAGAAATCGCGACGTTGACGGCACAACGCTCGTCCCTGCAAAATCATCTCACACGAGCACAACAAGCGCAATCTCAAGCACCTGGCATTCCGGAACAGCCCGCACCACAAGCATCACAACACGGAAGTGTGGGGCAACCCGCGAGCGCGGCCAGTGATGGTGTCGTCCGCCCCGACGGAGACGAAGACCACGGCACGACACACCTCGGAACGACGAATGCGGCCCGAAGCCAGCCACGCGTCACAATTTCAGCACCAACCGACGATTCGGCACTGCCGTCACCGATGCCGCTAAAGCCGCAGCGTCCGCCATGCTTCGATCTCAGTCAAAGGGGTAGTCCTACCGTTCAGACGTGGTTGTTCACGATGAACGTGCTTTTCGACGCCAACTACGTCTCGGAGGATACGGTGAAAATCCGCTACGCCGTGTCTCTACTGCGAGGACCCGCCATGGATTCGTGGCTCATCATCGTCACGAAGCCGATGGACTACGCGAATCTACCGACACGGGAAGGACAA